CATTACAAAACACAGAAAACAGAGAATAAAACAAGCATGCACACCGAACTAGCACAGGCTGCCCGGGATAATGCAAATCCTTTCGCGAGAGCCTTAAACACACAGAAACGGCCTCCTTCGTTGCCTTCTTCGGGAGGGACTCGTGCCGCCACCTGATCTCTGATCGTAATCTCGAAGACGCCCAAGATGTTGGCGAGATAATAGAATTAAGGGCGAGAGGCTTGGTGGGGTTGGAGGGGGGGTTTGGAGGGGGAGGGGGAAGGATTGGAGGGGGAGGATGAGGGAGGGGAAGAGAGGGGGAGGGCAGGAAGGGGGAGGATGAAGGAAGGGGAGGATGAGGAGAGAGGGGAGAGAGGGAGGGAGGAGAGGGAAGGAGGATGAAGGGAGAGAGAGAGGGAAGAGAGGGGAGGGGAGGAGAGGGGGAAGGGAGGGTGGGGGAGGAGAGGGAGGGCGTTAGGGACAGGGGGACGGGAATAGGAGAGAGAGTAAGGTGAGAAAGGAATGAGGTTGTGGGTATAAGAGGGATAGAGAGAGGAAGGGGGTAAAGGTGAATGGGAGAATGAAAGGAAAGAGGGAGAGGGGGAAGAGAATGACCGGAGGAAGGGAAAGAGGAGATGGGAAGGGGAGAGGGGGAGGGAGAATGACCGAAGACAGGGAAAGAGGAGAGGGGAGGAGGGAGAGGAGGAGAAGAGAACCTGAGGAAAAGAGGAAGTCTGTGAGGACGGGGGGAGGGGTGGGGGAGGGGGGAGGAGGGGGGCGTGTGCACCATTCATGATTGCAAAGAAGGAGACCTCAACCCACCTCCCTGCTTATGAGGTTCCACCGAACGACCCTCTATTGACGCTTAACATAACAAACGGCCGTTTTGTATCATCATCATCAATTTTCTCTATTTACTCTTCTATCTATTTTCATTTTCTCAGTTCATTCCCCTCTTTTATCCAATTCTATTTCTTTCCTATTTTCAGGTGTAGATTTAAGCAGAGAGTGTTTAGCCAATAATCCGTTTTCTTGACAAATTAACGATGACAAGAATGGGCAGAAAAAACAATTTGACACCAGCGAAGGAAAGGAGAGAGAGAGAGAGAGAGAGGAGAGAGAGAGAGAGAGAGAGAGAGAGAGAGAGAGAGAGAGAGAGAGAGAGAGAGAGAGAGAGAGAGAGAGAGAGAGAAAGAAGAAGAAGAGAAGGGGAAAGAGAAAGATAAATAAACTCAAAGAAAATGGATGAGAATGTGGAAAGAATATGAAGAAAAAAGAGAGAAAGATCACTTTACTCTAAGAAAATTAAATGAAAGAGAATAGGAAAATAAAGAAGTAAAACAAGAAGACAGAAAAAAAGTGAAATAAGGAGAAAGAGAAGAAAGAAGGAACACAAGTAAAATGAGAACAAGAAGAAAGTAAAAGAAGCAGAAAAAAACAGAAAGATTAGTGAAAGCAGAAGAAAAGAGAAAAGAAGTAGAATAAGAAAGAAGGAAATAAGAAAAAATACAGAGAAGAGAAAAATTAAAAGACGGAGAATAAAAGAAGAAAAAGGAGTAAAACAAGAGACAGAAGAGGCAGAAGAAGGGAAAAGTGGAATCAAAACAACAACAATAACAAAAACAAAAACAAACACCCCCCCAAAAAAAAAAAATAAAAATAAAATAAATAAATAAACGACGAACATTTAAACATCGAATTCCTACTTACATGAAGGAATATATCACACCTCTCCTTCATAGGATGCAGAGAATAAACATGAAGTCCTTTCGGCTCCACAGATATCCTGCCGGTGGTCCAGTTAGAGTTGTAGATGCCACAGAGGAGACTAGGCCAAGGGGTTAGCGACGAGAGAGGCCTGGGGGTTCCTGTTGAAAAATGAGGGGGTGAGAGGAGGGGGAAGGAAGGGGGAGAAAGGGATGGGGGAGGGGGTTGAGATAGGGAGGTTGGGGATTGGGGGTGGGAAGTGGAAGGGTAGGGGAAGTGGTAGAGAGAGAGAGATGAGAGAGAGAGAGAGAGAGAGAGAGAGAGAGAGAGAGAGAGAGAGAGAGAGAGAGAGAGAGAGAGAGAGAGAGAGAGAGAGAGACAACAAAAACCAAAGAAAAAAAAGGAAGTCACAGAGACCGAGACAGATTCAGAGACAGCCAAACAAAACAAACAGACAAACAAGGATAAAAAACAAAGAATAGACAAAAAATAATAATAGTAATAAAAAAAAAAAAAAAAAAAAAAAAAATCTCTATCCTACCCCCCCTCCCCCCCCCCCCAAAAAAAAAAAAAGAGAACCAATGATTAATTTCCGAAAGGACGCGAGCGCCCCAGCGGGTATTCCACTTAATTGCACAGGTAGAGCCCAGCCGTTGCAATTAAAGCTTAATCACAGACCTGGCGATCAAGCACTGCCCAATAATAGAGACTTATAGCAAGCAGTAATAAGTACAGGAGAGAACAAAAACAACTATCAAGCAATGAGAAAGTACAAATGGGTCCAACAACACTGTACAAAGAGCTAATCATTGTTAATAGCATAAACAGGGTTGGTTTAACAGGTTGTTTTGCCAGGCGCTTGTTGGTAATAGATGGGGGGTTTAAGGGAAGCACTTTAGAGACGGGATCCGGGTAAGAACTTTTATTATCATTGTTATTATTTTTGTTATTATCATTATTTCTAGTAGCATATTATTAGATTTTTATTAACATTATTATCATAATCATTATCATTCACCATTGCCATGCTACCATTTGATTATTTTATAATCATTACCATTATTGTCATTATTGGTATTTATTATTATTGATATCATTACTATTGTTATCTTTATTATTATCATTATGATTGTTATCATCATTATCATTATCATCATCCACATCATAATTATCATTATTACTCTTTCGCTTTCTTTCTTTTCGTTTTGCTTCTTTCCCCTCATTTACATAATTTTCCCATCTATTCCCTTTTCTTTACACTCTTTTCCAACTTTCCTTTCTCCTGCAACTCCTTCTTCTCCTTTTTGCGAACTTGAGGAGAAAGTTCGTCGATGTTATATCTGCAATATCTGCTGATTTGCAACTTGGTTTGATGTGCAAGAAAGGCCAGAAGGCAGTAAAGGTGAATAGAGAGAGAGAGAGAGAGAGAGAGAGAGAGAGAGAGAGAGAGAGAGAGAGAGAGAGAGAGAGAGAGAAGAGAGAGAGAGAGAGAGAGAGAGAGAGAGAGAGAGAGAGAGAGAGAGAGAGAGAGAGAGAGAGAGAGAGAGAGAGAGACAGACAGACAGAGAGAAAAAGGAGAGAGAGAAACAAGAGACAAACACACAGACAGGCACAGAAATAACAAACGGACAAAACCCATAGCCACAGAGGTGACAATGCCAGTTAACTATCTCGACCCTTACACTACTAGATGACACCATTAATCACAAACAACATCAACAACACATCCAACAACAACAACAAATCAACAACAACATCATCAACAACATCAACAACAAAAACAACATGAACAACAGCAACATCACCACCATCACAACACAGCAACAACATCAACACAACAACAACAACAACAACGCAACACCACCACCACCACCACCACCACCACCACAACACAACACAACAACACAAAGCAGCAACAAAGGTCTCTCCCATAAAAGGAAGAGCATTAAACCCCATATATAAGACCTCAATCCCTTTACATAGAGGACAGCTGTGATGGAAGACACCCTTTCTCGTGATAATTATAAGGTAGAGGTGAGTGAAGGTGTAGATGCAAGTGGAGGTCGAGGTAGAGCATTGGAGGAGATTTGGAGTGATTTTTCTTATCGTGTTTTCTCCTCTCTCTCTCTGTCTTTTATTTCTCTATCTCTATTTCTATTTCTATCTCTGTCTCTATCTCTTTCTTTCTGTATCTGTCTGTCTATCTGTCTCCGTCTCTGTCTCTGTCCCTGTCTCTCTCTGTCCCTGTCTCTCTCTCTCTCTCTCTCTCTCTCTCTCTCTCTCTCTCTCTCTGCCTTTATTTTTCTCTATCTCTATTTCTATTTTTATCTCTGTCTCTATCTCTGTCTGTTAGTCTATCTGTCTGTCTGTCTGTCTGTCTCTCTCTCTCTCTCTCTCTCTCTCTCTGTCTCTCTCTCGCTCTCTGTTTCTCTCCTTTCCTTTTTTCTATCTATACATATCTATCGATCTGTCTGTCTGTATATCTCTGTATCTCTGTGCTTGTTATATTGCACATGATCCATACAATTTCTGATAAAAAAGTAAATTTGTCTATTTTCTGGCAATTCCTTTATCAGAAAGAATAATCATGAAGGGACCAAAAAAGGAGAAAATGTAGAAGGGTAAAACAATGAATAAGTAAAGGGAGAAGAAGAAATATAAGAAGAAATAGAAGTAAAAATAGAAAAAAATAGAATAATAAGAAAAAAAAAAAAAACAGAAAAAGGAAATGGAGAAAAAAGAAAAAGAAAAAAAGAAGAATTGAAGAAGAAATAGAAAAAATAGAAAAAAGAAGAAGAAATAGAAAAAAGAAAAAATAGAAGAAGATGAACTAGAAGAACAACAACTGGAAGAAACAGAAATAGAATAAATAGAAGAAGAACAACAACTGGAAGAAACAGAAATAGAAGAAGAACAACAATTAGAAGAAAAAGAAATATAAGAAGGAATAGAAGAACAACAACAATTAGAAGAAGTAATCGAAGATAAACAGTAATAATAAAAATAAAAAAAAACTCACTCAGCCGATTCCCAGACGCGGAGGTGCTGTCTCTCGCCCTCAAACCAGCGTCTTCAGGAAGCGTCTGTGTGCTCGCATCGACCGCGGGCGTGCTGGGGGTGATGGGCGTGATTTTCGAGGTCACGGGCGTGGGGGAGGAGCCGGGTAGAGTGATTTCTAGTCCGTATAGGCTCGTTGGCCTGGGCGTCCTCGTGGGCGGCTGGAAAGGTTGCGGGCGAGTGGGGGTTTAGGTTTTGCGGCGGGCGGGCGTGGTGGTGGTGGTGTTCTTGGTGGGCGTCGGGTATCTCTCCTACGGGTGATGGGCGTGGTCACCGCGGGCGTGGTGGGTAATTCTTCCATGGGCGTAGAGAAGGTTTCGTCTACGGGCGTGTTGAGAGCCTCCTCGGGTGGTGTCTCCTCCGCGGGCGTGGCGTAAGTTTCATCTACGGGCGTGGGCGTAGTTATCTCTTCGGGCGTAGTGTGAGCTTCACGTGTAACCTCCGCGGGCGTGGGTGTGAGCTTCACCTGCGGCGTGTGAAGGTGTCTTGAAGTTGTCTCTGCGGGCGTGAAAGGCGTCCCTGCTTGCCTCCCACCGACGGGCGTGATCCC